TCTGTGATTCTGTGATCAGTGACATCCTGGCTCTCAGATTGTTGTGACATCCAGAGGCAAACTGGGATCAAAGAGCTCCCAGCAGAACAGGACACTCCAAACAAGGAGGAGCTCTGAGCTGCCAACATTCCCTCCCTCAGGAGATGAGGCCAAGGCAGGGATTTCTCCTTTCTCCTCCTCCTGACAGCTCTGTGGCAGGCACACAGTGACTCTGTGTGGTCACAGCTGAAAACTGCTGCACACCCAAAAACATCCAAAGCATTTTTTCACCGTGCTGGTGAAGGCCCATGACTCAGTAAATGAATTTATCCCTCTCATATTGACATGGAAAAGCAAAAGGAGGGGAAAAAAGGGAGAGGAAAGTCTTTCCCTTTAATCATCTCCACGCCTGAGATTGGAAATTTAACATTATTAATGACTGAGTGATAACAGGAGCACTCAAGGGCTGTACCCTGCAAATCCTAAATTTGGGGAGCAGTTACACCCCAGGCAATTGGCAGGAACACAGAAGAGAGCAGAGGCCAAGCACAGAATAAATCCCAGCTGAAATCACCCCAAATTCTGAGAATCAGTGCTTCAAACAGATTTAGGGCTCAGTGAAACTCAAGCAGCCACACCTCCATTTCTTCACAGGAAAAAGGAGGAGGGTGCTAAGCAACATTTAAAAAACTGATTAGAGTTATACTTTATAAAGGGAAAATGGGCATCCTTCTGCATTCTATACAATGGGCACCCTCCTTTCCCCACCTAAGGTTTTACACCCCAAAATAAGCTTGTTGAGAAGATAATGCTGCCCCACAAACTATTGCTAAATCTACTGCTTAAATGTAAAACTCAAAATCAAGGTTTGAATGGAGCTTTATTCCTTCTCTTTTTAATTACAAAGCATCTACCTTAGGAACAAGTTACTACTGCTGGTATTTGCTGAGGAACTTGTTTCATATCTATTGAAATGAAGCAAGAAATAGCATTTTCAGCCTTGTAAGAAATGCTGGGTGCTGCCACCTCTTGACTCAGTGGGAAGTACAGATGCCCAACCCTTCACACAGTGTTACACCTCATGTGGAAAAGAAATAATTCTAAACCTTTCTGGGAGGGGTTTGGGTTTGTCCTGGCTGCCCCATCCAGCCAAGGGCTCCCTCCTGCCACAAACAGCACTCAGAGGGTGAGGTAAAGCCCTGTGTTCCTCCCTCAGCTCTGCAAGCACTCACCTCCTTTCACCAAGCCAAAGGACAGCCCATTCTTGTTGTCTGAGGTCATCAGCAGCTCCACAATCCCTCTGTTTAACAGGGCCTGGGTTAAAAAAACCAAAAGCCATTGTGTTAACAGAATTTAGCATTTCTCAGGGTATTAAAACATTCCAGCATCACTTCTGTGGGCACAGCCTGCAACTGGCAGTGCCTTGTAATAAATATTATCCTTGTGACATCTCCCATTCCTCCTGAAGCTTTCTTACCTACTTTTCCCAGCTTAAAGACCACAGGAAAATCTTATTTTGTCTTAGAAACCTGGATTGGTTCTCACTGAGGCATCCAGCTTCAGGATTATAGCTTCTGAGATCAAGGCAATAAACAGCTTCACTGCTTATATCAAAATTATTCAGGTGGAAGAAGGGAAGGAAAAGCAGCTCAGGCTTCCCAACTGCCTGACAGTGGGAGCTGGAAAGAGGGAAGAGCTGATTTTCCAAGGAACAGCATCACAGGACAGCTCAGGCACAAATGTTTTTCAAAAATCAAAGAATTTAGTGGTTCCTCAATATTACAGCTCCAGAGGAATCAGCACTCCAAGGTTTAAAATCCACCTGCACACACGAGGATCCTCCCATCAGGACTGTTCTCTTGCAGCTGCTCCTGAACAGAACAGTGGTGATGTCTGGAAATCAGTTAATTAACCACTCATTTCACTGCACCTCCATTGCAGGAGCTCTGAGAACAAGGCTTCAGTCTCTTCAGTCCAAATTCCTAATTGTGAAATGTGATAAAATCCTTTGTTTATTGTCCCAGGCTGCACTAAGAGCAGAGCTGGGCATGAAACCTTGCAACACAGAGCCTAGAGACAAACCCAGCCCACAGCCAGGACAAGCTGGGGACTTTATCAACCCATCCCAAATTTACACCTGAACAATGCTGGATTCAGGCAAAATTCAGCTGCTGAGGGAGCTGGAATTTCTAACCAATTTTACCAAGGTAATTCTTGGAGCTCTGCATTAATGCTGAGTTTCTTCCCCTCCTTTTGAGTGTAAATGCAAAACAGAGGAACAGCAGAGCTCCCACACATTCAGTGCCTCCCAGAGTGCAGCAGAAATGCAGGAATAGAAGCTCAGATCTGTGTAGGAAGGGCCATGTCAATAAATCCTTTCACTTTTAGGAAGGCAAAGATACCCAAAAAGTGAGCTAAGCCCAGGGAGCTGAAATTTTGTGTGAGCTGTGGGTGTTTTCTAATGAGTTTATTAATTCCAGAAAAGTGCAACTTGGTCAGAGATGCCATATTGAATTAATCACCTTGCCACAAACCAGAACAAAGACTCAGAGCCCCACCTCACATCAGATCCCACTCCAACCAAAAACAAACCCTGCAAATCCTGCTTTCCAACATTTCCATCCCTAACCACTATTCTGTGCAAATTGCACACAATCCCAGAATATGATGAAACAGTACTGCAAAAACACACCCACAGGCCTGGCAGGGAGATCTGTCCTGACAAGTCTGAAACAGCACAAACTTTCCTCACCAAGGAAAGCAAGGCCAAGCCTGCAGCCTGCTCAGACCCCAGAACCTCTGTGTCCCCTTCATCCAGGGCTCTGAAAAACACTTATTGCCATTATCTCTGATTTGTTTGTGTAAAACTTTATATTTAACCTTGTCAGTTGAACCACAAGCTGGAGTCAGAGCAGGAGCTGGCACAGCCCTAAGGGGATCAGCACTCCTGCCAGGGATTGGTTTGTTTGCTCTGGACACCCTGAGCAATGGCACAACCTGAGCCTCAGGGTGCTCACCCTCATGAAACCCTGCACTCCTGACAATCCCATCCTGGCTATCCTCTCAGCAGCCCCAGGAGCATGAACAGGACTCAACCAATCACAAATCTGAAAAATCCTGGCTTTTTCTTCCATCTCCCACCCAGGCTGAATAGCAACCATTATCATCTACAACCCTAAACTCACCCTCCTCAACTTCTATCTACCCTATAATAACTGCAACCATCTTCCTCACCCTAAACACAAAGTCCTAAAACTATCTACCCTAATAAATAAAAATAAAGCTATCCACCCTAATAATCCTGAGGGTGAGCCTCAGGGTGCAGCTGGGCTACCCAGAAGGTTCCAGAAGGATCCCATCATCCTGTCAAGCCTGGATGAGTGACCCCCCAAATGCGCAGCAATACCTTTAAGCACTCAGTGAGCAGAAATTAAACATTGCATTTTTCTTCCATCTCCCACCCAGGCTGAATAGCAATCATTATCATCTAAAACCCCAAACTCACCCTCCTCAACTTCTACCTATACACTGCAATAACTGCAACCATCTTCCTCACCCTAAACACAGTTAAAGTCCTAAAACTATCAACCCTAATAACTAAAAATAAAGCAATCTACCCTAACAACCCCGAGGGTGAGCCTCAGGGTGCAGCTGGGCTGCCCAAAAGGTTTCAGAAGAATCCCATAATTCTGAAGAAGAAGAGCAAGCTTGGGTGGGTGACCCCCCTGATGCACAGCAA